GAAGTCAATGCCTTAGTATCTCATATCTTGGTTAGGTTTAATTTAATTGTTATTTTCCTTTTATTATCTTTTTAGTTAAACTTTCTTCCCATTTGGTTGTTCAAATAAATTTGGATTAATTATTTTGGTACTTAGTTAGACACAATCCTCATGGGTTCGACACTCTTCTCATCATTATATTACTTGGAACGACTAGTACACTTGCTAGGGTGATTTTAGTGAATCACTAAACAATTATATCAATCAAAATTCACTATTTCTTATCCATTACTTGTTCTCTAGTATCTATCACTTATTATTTACTATCTACCATACTAGCTACTCCCACTATCTGTAGTACGTAATCTACCACTTACTATCCACTAAATTTTAATTACTATACCAATTTTTAATCACTATACCAAATTTTAATTACTATACCTAACATACCTAACAACCTCTAAACTCTTGGTATGTAAAAATCACATTAAATCTAACTAATTCAAAATCAAATTAAGTTATTTAAAAACCATATTAAAAAATCTTACTAATTCAAAATCAAGTTAAGTTAGATTCTACAAAACTTATATTTTTATTTATAAAATTCGAACTATGATTTTACTGAAGAGAACATGAGTTAACTAACAAATCATTGATATAAACCTAATTTATTGCTACTTGTAAGTGCTCCTGTAAAATTTGGATGAAACGCTGCAAGCCGGTGGTATGTTTCCTTTGTATGCCCAGAGTCAATTAATGATTTATATTTGCAGTGTGTGTTGGATTTATTATGTAAAATAAGGAGGTGAGGTCCCCTATTTATTGTATAGTTCTGTGGGCTATTGTTTTTTTTCTTTTGACAAGAGCAATTGTTAGTATGTTAGATTAGTTGATTGTTAGAAACTATAGATTCGATCTCCAGATGAGAGTGAACGCTACCCCTCCTCGTTTAGGAGCATGAACCAATGAATCGTATGGTGGAGTTCATGCTCTGGGCTATTTGGTTGGAAAGGAAAAATATTTGTTTGAAGGGGGTCAGCGCAATGAAGAAAGATTGTTTGAGTTTATGCAGAGATTAAGTCTTTTATCTGGATCAAAGGAAAAACGGAGGGCTTAGCTTTTACTTTAAAGTGATTGGATTCAATTTCTTTATTCTATGCTGTGAGAAAAATTGAAGTTGAAACGTGCAGGAGATTTGTGGGAATGTAAAGTTTGATGAAAAGGTTAAGGTATCTCTAATACCAAAATAATAAAAAAAAACTTTTATTTACTGATAAAATTAAAGAAAAATAAACAGAAACAATCAATAGATCAAGAATGAACTCAAATATATAACTACCTCTAACCTCAGAATATATGAGTCTTTCTTAGAGGCTGCTAAGTGTCAGAGAATAAGTCGATCTAAAGAGGAATATATAAGCAGAACCCATTGTTAAGCCCATTAAACTTCTCCCGTATTTTTGTGTAGTCCCCTAAAATAACTTTTAAGCAGATACCTCTTAAATTGCCTGATGGTAAATTAGCCCCTTAAATATAACGGCTACCGTTTATCTCCGTTAATATAGCGGGTGAGTCATGCAGGTGCCGTTAGTTTCTCTTGACGTGGCTCTTAAAAAACAGATTAATATCAATTTTTTTTTAACATATTACAATACTACAATTTTTGGGAGGAGATTCGAAATTCAATCTTGAAATTGAATATATATTTTACAATTAGATGTATAATCATCCGATCATAAAGTTCAAGTGAAAAAAAAAAGAAAAAGATTACCATCAAATTAAGTCCATGAACTATTTAAATTTCAATAGGAATTACTCCTAAACTTTACTAAAAATAAATGAAATCACTAGGAACCTAACCCTTCGAGTCAAGTGGTTCTAACCACGTTTATAAGGTTCATATCCCTCTCTTCTAAGGCAACAGTTCGAGACTGTTCATGACAAAAATGTTCAAAAAAAAAAAAAATGAAATCACTAGAGGTTCAAGGTATTTTCCACTCCTAAGAGCCCTCGCATTCTTTCTCTTGTGGTACCAGTCAGAATTATCTGTGATTCAAAACGAAGCCACGTTTGTGATCGAACTTAGAAGTCTTAAAGTTGTCCTTTTGCTGAAGATAGTCACGTGCTTATGAGCTGTTATACGTACACTGGTCTTCTGTTTGAATGAACATTTCAGCTGCGTGCTGTTTCCAACACAGATTACTGCAGGGCATGATTTAAGTGATGAAGCGAGGAAACTCCACTTTGTTTTTCTCTTCCTTCGTTACACTTACCAATATAGATATGAGCAATGCTAGGGGCACTCGCCTCCTGCAATCTCCGGCCGACACTTCCCCTTTCATTAGGCCACGTAAGGTTGTTTCGGTTTTGAAGTGCATCCTCTTTAAAAACAAAAATAACGTGGCCCAATGAGAGGGGAAGTGTTGGCCGGAGAGTGCAGGAGGCGAGTTCCCCTAGCATTGCTCATATAGATATACAACCAAATTTGACATTATTTTTTTTTTAAACAAGTAAACAAAGGTGAATTCGAACCAACCATGAAAAAGGGGCAATACACTTCCCAACTAGCCCAAACGTCATTTGATCTAAAAAGTTAGGTGCTAACCAAATTTGACATGACTCTAAAAAGAGGATTAATTTCAATTATGTCCATGAACTATTTAAATTTCAATGGGAATTAGTCTTAAATTTTACTTTAAAAAAAAAAAAAGCAATTGATCTTTCGAAGTAAAGTGACCTTTGGTCACTTTGAAGTGTGCCTTCTTCTCCTCTTTGAGATGGACCTTTCTCTCTTCTTTGAGGTTCTAGCCTGTATCATAATAACATTGTTTAAAAAAAAAAAACTTTACTAAAAAAAAATGTTCTTAAAAAAAAAAACTTTACTAAAAAATAAATGAAAACATTAGAGATTCAAGTTATTTTCCACCCTAAGAGCCCTTGGATTCTTTCTCTTGTGGTACTAGTTAGAATCACCTGTGATTCAAAACGAGGCCACGTTTGTGGTCGAACTTAAAAGACTTAAAGTTGTCCTTTTACTGAACGTAGTCACGTGCTTATGAGCTGTTATCCATACCTGGTCTTCTATTTGAATGAACTTTGCCGACACAGATTACTGCACACATCATTTGATTGATGAAGTGAAGAGAAATGAGCAGTGCTCTGTTAGCGCTAA